ATCCATGTGAGGACCCTGCTGACTGATCGTGGGCTTTCACTATCATCCATAGCCTTTTGCAAACCAGGTGCTCAGAATTTAAGCTCTAGTATGGTTCCCTCCTCTGGACTTGGATTGTGTTGTTCACAATCCTGGGGTCATATAGGCAGGTGTGCTTCTATCATGTGGACTCAGTTGATGCCTCGCTTAGAAAGATGGCTGCTTGTTTCAAGACAAGCCTTTCAGACCCCAGATGCTATTCTTTCTTGTGGCCAGGCACCATCCAGTTTCTTCAGCACACTTTGCTGTAGCACTCACGTCTTCACTGATCATGAGGGTGTGGATTGGCCGTGTCATGAGAACTGCTTGTTTTTAGATTAAGTCGCACCTTTCTCTCAAGGACGCGCTCCCTCTGCTCTAATTCTGGGGCCTGGGTGGCGCATCTGGACTTTGTTTATCCCACCAGCTACTCAGCTGACTCTGTCTGCATATCGACATTGGGAACCAGCTTCTGGAACATTTTGGAGGGCTCATTATGGCCACTGTTCTGGCTCTGGTTGCTCCGAGACCTTCCTACTGGCCACCTTTCCCTTCAGGCGGCCTTAGGCTTGTCTCTTTTTTCATGATGCTTTCAAACCCTGCAGTGCTGGGTGGAACTGCAGGCGGGCCCTTCCAGACCACCACACTGGGCCTTTTCGTTGAAATCAGCCATTCCAGGGGACCATTCTTTTCTGGTTTATTTCTTGGCTCCCGCTCTAGAACCCTGAGCCAGGTGTTGCATCCCCACTTTACCTAGTGTTTCCTCCTGATTCCCATCTCTTTGCTTCTTATGTTCACTTTTCTAGAAGCTTCCTCCACGTCTACCCCTTGACTCTCCGAGGGGCTTTCTCTCCCACCTTCTGCCCAGCTGAGGGGCCCCTGAGCAGGTTGGACTGAATGTGGGATAGCTTTGGGGCATCCGTAGTGCTGGGTGGTTAGTATAGTGGTTGGCTGGTTCATGCTCTCTTGGCCCTCCCTCAGGTCCAGAGCTGTTGCCTTCTCTCTGCCCAGCAGGATGCCATGCTGTGCAGGACATACCTGTTGCTACTGACCAGCTGGGAGTGAGTGGAGGGGCCTCACCTGCCCCCCCATGGCCTCTCCTGGGCAATGGCTGCTACATCCTGGACACCGCCTCTGCCTCCTGAAGTAAGCAGCAATGAGGCCCCACCCTGTGGCCTGGTTTGGACATGTGCTGCTCACTCTCCCTCTCCTCAAGGCCACCCCTCCTGGGTCCAGTGTGAGAGGTGGCTGATGGCAGGTCTTGATTTGTATGTCTGTGAGGCCCCTCCCTCCAGGAACATCTGACTTCTCTTTTTACACAGCTTATTGGGATAGCATTTGGAGCCCTGGTGGTGTACTAGTTATGCATTGGGCTGCTAACTGCAAGGCCATCAGTTCAAAACCACCAGTTGCTCTGTGGGAGAAAGTCTAGGCTTTCTACTCCCATAAAGACTCACAGTCACAGAAGCCCACAGGGGCAGTTCTACCCTGTCCTGTAGGGTCTCTGTGAGTTGACATCAACTCGAAGGTGGCGATTTCCCTTTCTGCTTCACATTTTGCCGAGTCGCCAGCCTGTCTCTGGCCTCATCAGCACCCTTTTCCGTGCCCACCAGCTGTGCCTGAGGGTTCCAGGTTCTCCATGTCCCACCAACAATGTTGCCTGTCTGTCTTTTAAGTGCTCACAGCCCCTTAGGGTGTGGGGCACACTGCACTGGGCCTTGGACAGGCATTTCCTCACTGGCACACAATGTTGAACAGCATTCCAGGGGCTATTGGGACCCCACTCTTTCCTCAGTGGAATTTACAGCAACTGTGGTGGGGTCGGGGGGTCGGGGGGGGCGAGTGGCATCCACTGACGGGTCTGAACCACCCTTCGGTCACGCCTCTCCCCCCTGCTGTTCCAGCTGCCAAGCTTGGAATCCTCATCACAAGACTTTGAGGTGGTCTCTGTCCTGTTCTGATGACAGCTCTTTGGTGGGCTCTCATTCATTCAACCGAGAGTTGTTGGGCCTCCGAAGCCTGCCTGGTGTCACCTAGACACCGTGGTGGGGACATAGCTCTATCCTGCACTTGACCTCTAGGTCACTCAGCCAAGAGAGGCCACCATGACGTGTGCCAGGGTGGTCACACGTGAACCTGAATCCATGCACACGGGCACCCTCCCCACAGTGCATGCCCATGGACACATGCACTCGTGTGTACACACTCAGAGTCACACACATGTAAACACATGCATACACACACTCATGGTGCACACGTGCATGCATATGCACGTGGGTGCACATAAATCCACACACATGTACACACTTATGGTGCACATGTGTGCGCATACACATATGCCTGACTCACTGATCCATCCCATGCGTTTTTGCTGAGTCCAATGATCCGTCAGACATGGCACCAGCTCTGAGAGTGGCTGTGGGCTGTGGGTACCCTTGGCGTGAGGACAGCTGCGATACAAGGCTTGAGGATGGACCCGGTGGGACGGTGGCCCTTGGACCCCAGAGCTGTGAAATGAAGGAGAAGAAGCCGAGGGACATGGGCCAGAGGTGGTGCTGGTGTGGCTGAGCGATGCCATGGCCAGGGCTGTTAGACTCAGAAGAGAGCTGGGTCAGGTTGGGGGCCAGGGCAACGTTCGAATGCTGCCCTGGGGAGCTTCCCTCTGTAAGAGGCAGATGTTATAGGTCCGGTGCCCGGTGACATGGAGGTGGGTGGGGCGTTTCCACCGGCTGTACTCGAAGAGCAAAGACTCCTGACCCCGAAGGCACCAGGCTCCCAACTCTGAGGTCCCTCGTCACTCAGGGGATCCCCAACGAGTCCAGGCTCCCAATGACCCTGGTCCCCCAGTGACTCTGGGTCTCCCAAAGAGTCTAGGCTCCCAATGAATGCAGTCCTTCCACAGCTTTTCTGCCCACCCCCAGCTCCGTACCCCTCTCCCAGCGAATCCCAGACCCCAGCAGTCCCAGGGCCCCAGTGACTTAGGGTTCCTCAGCAGCTCCTGGCTGGGCAGGGCACCATGGAGTTGAAACACCTGAGAATCTGAAGGAAAGAGCTGGTTCCAATGACACCTTGGTGGTGGAGAAGTTAACCCCCACCCCCACCCCCACCCCAGCCACCGCGGCGAGGCCAGGTGGGCTCTGCTCTGCACCTCTGAGTGCTTCTGTCCTGGGTGCCAGCAGGTGCAGAGGGGCAGGCCCTGGCTACGGAGGAGACTGGCCAGCACTGTCGGGCCCAGGGAGTGGCTGCAATTTGCTCTCCAGTGACCTGAGGAAGAGGGCTGGGCTGCTGGGCCTGAGCTGGGCCAGAGGAGTCGGGGTTCGGCCTCAGCTTAAGGGATGCAGCCCCAAGGTGCCTTGTGCCATGGCCCCAGGAGGCAGCACTATTGGGGGGGTTCCCCAGGTTCTGGGGCCTTAGGGGGCAGCAGCATGAAGGAACCAGCCTTTCGTGTGGCCCTGGGCTTCTGTGAGGGGCAGAAAGCATGTTGGCTGCCTGGGGGAGGTGGGGTGGGGAGAGGGCACTATCCCTACTGCTTTTCAGACTTGTCAGCCCTGTCTGGCATCAGCGTGACTCGTGCCAGCCACCCGTCTGCACACATCACTGTAGCGTCACCATGATGAGAACCTGCTTACGCCTTCCGGGCTTTGGTGCCTTGCTCCACTGTCCTTTGGTGGAAGTGAGTGTGGGAACAGGGCCTGGGCCTCCTAGTTGGCCGTACCCACTCCAGTGCCTTAATTCTCTGCTCTGCTTCCCACCACTGAGGCTCTCAGACCTCATGCTGGCCTCCCATTTCTAACCCTTTGCAGTGTCCTCCCTGGGGGTCAGTGTCCCAACAGGCCGCTAAGCCCCTCACTCATGTCCTTGCCCTTGCTCTGGGCAGGTGGGGCCCGGCCCCACATTGGCTCTGTTGTCACTGGCTCCTAGCCAAACCTCAAGACCCATGGCCTGTCAGACTGCCCTGAAGCTCAGTATGTGGTGGGGGGACACATAGGAGGGTCACATAGGAAGGCACAAGAGGGACCTGGTCCTGGTCCTCTGAAGACAGACCAGGCTTCGCCTGTTTCCTTGGCAACCAGACTGGCTTCCTCTGTGGCTGTGCCCCTGGGGACAGAGGGAGGCCAGTCAAGGAGGGAGAGAGCAGGAAGATGTGGTGGCAGACCTGCGTGTGGGCCTTGGGGGCCAGGAGTGGGGATTCTGGGAAGGGACAGCGGCAGGACCAGGTCCTGACTTGCCTTCAGGGGAACTCGACTTGCTTTCCTGGGGGGTTGGGGGCAGAGCCCAGGGCAGTCGCTTCCTGTTTTTATTGTTGGTCACTTAATGACTGTCTTTTGAAGCGCTGCCTCTGAGAGAGCGGTTGTCGTGGCAACGGGAGTGACGTGAGGGTTGAGGTGCACAAAGCATGCCTCTGTCACGTCCAGAGATGCGTGAGGCCTCTGCTCAGATGTGGCTTCACAGAAGGACCTGGACATCCCCGGGGAGGGGCTGTTGGCTGGGGCAGAGGACACTCAGAGCCCGAGAGGTCCCTGACCAGGCTTTCTTCCCAGAAAGCCCCTCCCTGGCCCTGCCCACCACAGGACACTGCTGCTCCTGGGGGCCGCTCCTGGGGGCTGCTCCTGGGGTCTGCTCCTGGGGGCCGCTCCTGGGAATACAGGGGCTTGGACTCAGTGGGTCTTCCCTTGAGTTGGGCTTCATTTACCTGTTTCCTGTGTGTCTGCCTGCTAGCTAGTGATTCACCCCCCCCACCCCCACCCCCACCCCGCCCCCAGCAAAGCATGTTTCTGTTGATGTGAAAACCTTTTCTTGAATTTTTACTACGGTGGCTCCTGCAACATTTGTCTTTTTATGGTGTACCAATTCCCGGTGTCATGCGCTCCAGGCTTGGCCGCGCTGAGGACTGTGGCCAACTCCCTGCCCTCCCTCCCACATCACTGCCGCCCAGCATGTGCGCCCCTGTTTGTTCATGGCCCTGTGTTTCTAACCCTCAGAAAATGAGTTCCGGGGTGAGCTGCTGAACCAGAGGTGGACCCATAGCGACAAGAACAGCAGCTCCAGGACCTCCCAAAGCCTTCTGGACAGACACCACAAGGTGAGAGTGCCAGGGCAGAGGCCGAGGCTGGACTTTTCAGCTCCTGGGCTGGGCCTTCCAAGAGCCCAGGGGTGAGGAGGGCCAGGGCGGGGTGGGGCTTCAGTGGTCTCACCACTTTAGACTTGGAGGAGGCTTGCTGGTGTTGCAGCCACTGACCGGCACTCAGGCCTTGCTTGCAGGTGGGCTGCAGCCTGCTCAGCACCCTGTTCTTCTGGGACTGTGATCCCACCAGGCCCAGCATCAGCTAGCTGGCTGCGGTGACTTTACCCTGATTGCCCTTGTGGAAGTGGGTGTCATGCTCCCTTTGCAGACCTGCCCAGCCTCTGATTCTAGAACTTGCCGCAGCCTGCTCTCATGGGTCCAGTCTTGCAGTCAAGGGCCCGATGACCAACTGTGGCCAGCTTCTGCCATCCCTCCCATGACATGCTGACGTGGTCATGCTCACAGGCCAGGAAGAGCCACCCCGTATGCACACAGCAAGGGGCCTGTGTGGGGAGGTGTGAGCTTCGTTAGGGGCTAGCCTCCAGAGACCCCTGGCTTCCTGGGCACTTGGTGGCAGCATGCTTTCTAACTGCGCCATATGTCTGTCTGCCTTGTCCAACAAGGCACCCTGGTGACCACAGGCAGAAGAGGCACCAGGACGATTGAATCTGTCTTCACTTAATAATTTACTATTTTGTTCAATATGTTTTCTTAAAAGTCACTGAAAACATGACATTCACATGGTATTTGTTTTTGAATATCGAGCTTTTATTCTTTCTTCACTTTTTGCCTGAAGTGAGTGCCGTACTTGCCTTGCCCTGGCGGTCCTGGCATGAGGTCACGGGGTCGCTGAAGTCATCTGCTTTGAAGCTAGGAGCTCCACACCTGTGAGCTGTGTTAATTAAGGTCAGCAGTGAGCCAGACAGGAGCTCTTGTGGCATAGTGGTTATGTGTTGGGCTGAAATCTGCAAGGTCAGCAGTTCGAAACCACCAGCCCCTCTACAGGGGGAAGATGAGGCCTTCTACTCTTGGGGTCAGTTATAGTCTAGGAGACTCATGGGGCAGTTGTACCCTGTCCTACAGGGTCACGGTGGGCCAGCACAGTGGGCAGTGAGTGAGGTGGCAGGCAAGAGGAGGTCTGGGTTGGGACCTTCTGTGAACACGAGGTACCCCATCTGAGCAGGACGCTTTGCTCTTCTATTGCTCCCCCTGGGAATCCTTGTCCTCGAGTTGGGCCTGGAAACAGGGTACAAACCACGTTCTGAGAGAGGCTCTAAGACCTAGCAGGGGCCTGGGGCTTGAGGGTCGAATCTCAGAGGGACTTGGGGGCGTTCAGAGAATGATGGGGAGGTGCAGGGTGGCAGCGGACAGGCAGAAGGGTCGCAGCATATTGCTCAGGCTCAGTGCCCTGGGAGGCGGCTGCGGCCTGGCTTGCTTGGGAAGCGCTCACGCGGCCGGCTCGGGTTTCAGCACCAGGAGTGCGGACAGCACCACCGCAGCGGAGCCTTTGGAAATGCGGAGGCCTTTTGGGGAGGCCAGGTTTGTTTGGATGACAGAGAATGGAGTTGCCATTGACGCCGCCCCCCCCTCCCCCCGCCCCGCACTCTTTCTTGACCTTGAAGGACAAAATATTAGGCCAGAATCACTTCGTGGTCAGCGGTGGTTGGATGGGACCCTGGTGGGCAGCACCTTTGGGCGAGTGCACACTCAGAGGATCCACCTGCTGCCTCGCTGGGGCACCGGGCGATGACAGTGCACAGGGTGCTGCTCGGTCGGGTGATTGTGAGCCGCCGTGGATGTTATTAATCTGGGCTCGGAGGGAGCCTCAGCCCATGTTAAAGGCAGCAGGAGACACTTACAAAGACACACTCGGACTATACTTCCGGGTGGGTGTCAGAACCCGGCGTTTGTACGGGGTGGGGTGGGGGGAGGGTAGGCTCAATGCTACAAGCGTTGGGGGTCTGTGATGGCCTCTGGGGGCAGGATGGTAGGTGCAGGAATGGAGACCCGCCCATGGAAGGCAGGCGGCCTGCTGGGTCCCAGGTGGGGCATGCGCTCCTCTCTGAGGCAGAGGGCTGCCTGAGAGGGCCTGCCTCTGGGGAGTGTGTGTCCCCTGAGCAGAGACCACCTGTTCCAAGACTCCACAGGTGTTGTCCTGGGCACAGGTCAGAGGGCAAAACAAGCTGGCATTGTTGTCTCCTGACCCCACCACAAGAAGAGCCCCAGGTGCTGGAGGTCTGTGTCCCTCTGCTCCTCACGCCTGCGTCTGGCCCCTCCTTCTGGACTCAGAACATCCTGGTTCCTCAGCTACGCTGGCTTCTAGAGCACATTTCAAACTCAACAAGCTGGCAGTGCCTCCCCCACCTATCCTGGCTCTGATCACAGAACCCTGTGCTCTGGCCACCTGTCCCTCTCCAGGGTTCGGCGACAGTCCAGCCATCCCAATCTGCTCACCTGCCTGCCCTTCCTTCCTGTGGGCAGGGCACTGGACACTCCGGAGCACGCTGCACCATCTTCCCTCCTGGGTCGTTCTGCAGGAGAGAGGTGAGGTCACGCAGGTCAAGCTGAGGAAGTGAGGGAAGCCAGCAGCACACAGGGGAGGAGGGGGAGCCCCTGTCCTGCCCACACTGCGGTGGCCCTGTCTGCCCAGAGGTGCCCTCAGCACCTGCTTCTCTGGAGCTGCCCCCTCCTCCAGGGCACCATCTCCTGTCCCGAGCCCTGGGCTTGGACTCCTGCTGCACACGTGGGGTTCACTCTCTCTTCTGTGCTCTGCCACAGGTTTGATTCTTACCAGAGGTTTCCACCAACAGAGAACAGAGTCCTGATAAACAACAGGAAGCCCTCTCCCTTCCCTCCCAGCTCAGCTGCTGCAGCTGCCCAGTGATGCCCCCAAATGTGCTCCTCCTGCCAAGCAGATGCCCCCACACCTCTTCACACTATTTCTCCCCCAAATGGCTGCCTCATGGTCACAGGCGGCAGCTGCGGCTTTGGGCATCACATCCTACACAGGCCAACCCTACCTTTCGTCTCCTCTGGAGGATGGGCCAGTGAACCTTCCTCGTGACTCCATGAGCACCCTGTCTCACTCTCAGGCATGGGAGGGGGCTGATGGCGTGGGAAGAACCAGTGGAAATGAACAGTTCTGGGCTCCCACCCACCCTTTCCCAGAGGGAATTTGGGAAGGGGCTGTGACCTAGGCCGTCTGTGGCCCCGGAGACTTTGGGCCAGTCCTCCAGGCATTGCCTTCAGGGCACTGAGCAGGGAGGAGCAGGACCATCCACTGACCTGGAGGCCTCCAGACATTCCACATGTCACCATCCCCACATAGTAGCATGCCCAAAGCACCACCTCTGTCCTCGATGGCACTCAACCCTGCGCCCTCCATTAACCCCCCTCCCCATCCCAGCCTTGGCACTAACCCGGTCCCTCCACTTTGTCAGTTCTGACACCCACGCACCCTTTCCCTGAGCAGCCTGCTGTGCTCACACCTGAGCAGACCCTCAGGGAGTCAGCAGCTCCCCTTAAGGCTCCCGAGTGCCCGCTTCCTCCCAGGAAGGGGTGAGTAAGAGGATGGCTGTGAACAGCAGTCGAAGAAAGGCGTTCGTGGGAGGGACAGGCGAGGGGTCTGCCAACAGTGGCAGAGGCAGCCTTGGCAGTTGGAGGGGAGTGAGTTTCCATCGGAGGCACACAGCCCCAGCCAATTATGAATCATGGGGGTGCCATTACGGGGGGGCGGGCGGAACCTAGACTCTGGGTGGTGCCTGCCTGGGTGGCAGCATTGACATCCTAACAGGAACTGACCCTCCCCTGAGCCACTGGCTTCTCTGTGGCCCTGGGCCCCGGGTCTGCACAGTGATGGGGCTGGGACATGACCTGTTCACATCCCCTCCAGGCAGCCACCTCCCTGGAGATGGCTCAGCACAGATCTGGCTTTTTCTTTGGGTGCAGCCATGGATGGTTGCTGGCTGAGTTGGCACTCAGGGCAACAAGGGCTTTCACTCCATCCTCCCTCTAAGTAGCCTGAGCCTTGCCCAGGAGGGCGGGCTGGAGGGAGGACCCCCTCCTGCCCCCCAGGGTTTTAAGACTGAAGGATCTATCCTCTTGCTCTGGGCCTGTCGAAGACCTCAGAGGGAGGGTGGTGCTGGGCTGCTGGTGGTGGTGGGGGCTGGGCAGCCGTATTTCCGGAGCTCCGGTTGTCAGCAGTCTTCTGTTCCAAGTGTGTGAAGGTCATTATTGGCCCAGTCCTTGGGGATGGGGGTGTGGGGGGGTGAGAATCTCCTGGATTTCACTGAATAAAACACAGACCAAGGCGAGTCCTTCTCAAGGGGACCCTCCCTGACGCTAGTGGGGCCTACTGGCAGGCAGTGAGCAAGGACACTTCTACCACTGGTGCTGCTGCAGAGTTGCCTCCTCACTAAAGGGAGCCCCTGACATGAACTCGAGTGACAGGGTGGCTGCAGCGAGCAGGGTCTGGGCAGCCCAGCCGAGATGCTGTGAGACTCTGGGAGAGCTGTGGGCAGGGGGGG